TATAATAAATACAAGTTATTGTTGTCTCGATACTGTGTATTTTGAGCTGTTTTGCTACCAGATATCTGACCCCTGAGAAGACAGGTTTCACTGTCTCCAACCATTACCGCACCACTTGTAATAATAATAATAATCGTTGCATTTGATATAGCGTCTTATCACATTGTTGAGAAATCTCAAAGCGCTTCACAGAATATACTGTAAAGTGAATTGACTGTGTATTTTGTAGGATAAATGTGGCAGCCAATTGCATGCAGCAGGGTTCCACAGCCACATCAGCCACAAAATATACAGTCAAATCACTTTACAGTATATGCTGTGAAGCTCTTAAAGACATCTCGAAGACACGATAAGGGGCCATAGCTATGTGGAATCCTGTAGCTCAGTAGTTAGAGCACTCTCTTCGCAAGTGAGAGACCTGGGTTCGACTCCCAGCAGGACGAAATGTTGGGTATATCTAGCAGTAAGAAGGAACCCGGTTGTTAGTCGATTGGCGGATTGCTTTTCCGAGGGTAATAATTCCTTTTTTAAAAAATTATAAATTGGTCACTTCGATCCACGACTGTTTGTGGGACGCTGCTGTGCTCAATTGGCTGCCGCACTCCACCCACAAAACATATAGTCAATTCACTTTATAGTATATTCCGTGCAGCGCTTTTGGGACGCATCGAACATGTGATAAACCACATTATCAAATGCAAGGATTATTTTTTTTTAGGGGATTATTACTCCGGGAGATTGATCCAACAATTGACTAACAACCGGGTTCCTACTTACTGCCAGGGGTATGGAGTAAGAAAACTTGCCCGGGAATCAAACTCAGGTCTTCTCGGTTGTGAGGCGAGTGCACTAACCACTACGCCACGGGGATCCACTCATGTTCTGCCAATCGAGATGACAACGATTCTCTGAATAAGAGGAGTCCTGTGCATGGAGTGCTCCTGGGCTGTTCTCATCATTCGGGCCTTTTCACACGATTGGATGTTGGAACCGCTCGCACTCTTTCTGTAATGTTCCAAAAAGCTGTCACAAATTGTGAGCTTTCCAGTGGCCTCGTTTCACAACATGTTATCTGTTCCTGAAGAAATCAGTGTTCTCAGCGGGTGGGAAATGGAACAAGCAATCAGCATCCGCCTCAGTTTGAGACTCAACAGGCAGCCGGCCATTAACCCTCTCCTTTCCAAACAAACAGCAATTCCATATCTTCACTCTGTACAGTAACTCTATACAGTCTGAACCATCATCATTATTATTTATAATAATAAATCTTTATAAATCACTTGAAATACCATGCGCTGTTCTGGTCACCACAATGTAAAAAGGATATCACAACGAGAATACAGAGGAAGGCTACCAAAATGATTGAGGGGATGGAGAGCCTGGACTACGAGGAGTGATTTAGATAAACTGGGCATGTACATGCTGGAGAAGTGAAGGTCAAGGGGCAATATGATTATAATCTTTTAGATTCTGAAGGGATTAGATACTGTCGGCCATGATAAGCTGTTTTACCTTGTACTGAATAGTAGAACCAGAGGACACAACTTGTGATTGAAGGGGAATAAATTCAGAACACTACTTCAGTGAGTGAGCAGTAAACATATGGAACAGGCTCCCCAGCGAGAGACAGTGGAAGCAGAAAATGTTGTTTGTTTCAAGAACAAATTAGATAGATTTCCGCTAGAAAATAATATCTCAGGATACAATATATAGTTTGGGACACGACATGTCAAGTGACCACCAGGATGGGGGAAGGCGAACTAGATGGACCTTGGTCTTCTTTCACCCTAGCCAATTCTTATGTTTATGGAATGGCAGACCTGTCACTGGAGGCAGGGAATCCTCCCACTCAGCTCCTGTTAAACCTGCGAGCCAATGCCCTAATGGGTAGGGTGGTCCTAGCGTGGACAAACAGTGGGAAAGCTTTCCAGACAACGATATCAAGAACAACAGCAGCAACAACTTCCACTTATATAGTGCTCTCCACACAGGGTAGCGTCTCAGAGCGCTTAACAGTGGCGGAGCCTGACTCCCAAGTCGCAGGAGGTGGGGGGGTGACTGTAAGCAAGGTCAAAAAGGAAAGTTTTCAGGGGGGATTTGAAAAAGGGGAGAGGGGGGGTGCTAGGCAGAGGGATTGAGGGAGAGTGTTCCAAAGATTCAGGGCATAGTGGCTGAAGGAGCAACCTACAATGGTGGAGCGGAGGGGGGGAGGGATGAGCAAGAGGCCGGTGCCAGTTGAGCGGAGGCGCCGGGTGGTGGATTGGGGAGTGAGGAGGTCGGAGAGGTCGGGACGTGTCAGGGAGTGAATGGATTTGAACACAACTGTGAGGATCTTGAAGTCGATCGATTTGGTGTTGGGGAGCCAGTGGAGCCTGGGCCAGAACTGATGAGATGGGGGTTTGGAGTTGGTCCAGGTCAGTGTGCCGGCAACAGAGTTTTGAATGAGTTGGATTTTTTGAATAGTGGAGCTAGGGAGATTGTCAAGGAGTAATCCAAGTGGGAGGTGACAAAGGCATGCACGAGGATTTTGGTTGCCTTTGGGATAAGCTATGGTCGGAGGCGAGCAATGGCAGAGGTAGAGGAAGGCAGTCCTGGTCAGGGACCGGATGTTGGGAAGAAAGGACAGATGGGGGTCAAACCAAATGCCTAAATTGCGCACTGGTTTGGTGAGTCTGAGGGAAAATCTGGGGAGGTTGAGGAGTTCAGATCCACAGAAGTGAAGACGTTGACAGGAGTCAAAGAGAATGGATTCCATCTTGTCCACATTCAGCTGCAGGAAGGTGGCACCCATCCAGACCATAATGTCTGCCAGACAAGCTGATAGAACATTGGCAGACCTGGAATCGATGCTGGAGCAGGCAAGGTAGATTTGTGTGTCATCCGCATACATGTGGAAGTTTACCCATCTGTGGATGACATCGCCAATTAATGCCAATCTGTGTTGTTTTAGAACTGCTTTAGTTCTTTAGACTCAAGCAGTTATCCCAACTCTGGGATCCCCAAACCTTGACTCCTGCCAACACCATCTGCCTGTTCAGGTGGAAGTTAAAGATCCCGTGACACTATTCGAAAAGAGAAGGGAGTTTCTCTGAATCTAATTTGTTCTTGAAACAAATATTTTCTGCTTCTATTGTCGCCCTAAGGTTTCCTGGCCAGCAATCCCCAAGGTAAACTTGTTCATTCACTCCATGGCTGTTTGGGGGACATTGCTGTGTGCAAACTGGCTGCTGCGTTCACCTATAAACACGCAGTCATTCCAGTTGACACGTTAGTATATCCTGTGAAGCACAGAGATGTCTCCACAAGGAGCTGTATTAAATGAAAGGTTTATTATTAATTAGGTCCTGTCTGAGTGCTATTTGATGCAGGTCAATGGACAGAGACAACTCCCTCACCCCCCCAACCATCTGCCAGGTTAGGGTATTTGACAGAAAAACAAGTTGCATTTATATACCGCACTTCACGCCAGATGGCGACTCGCTTAACCATGGATTTCTCTGGGATTTTCCTGCTTCCTATTCTGCTGCTTGTCCAAATTACTCCGACTTCAGCTGCTCGGCACAGCGCTGAGTGTGGGAGCTCGCTGGCACAGATTAGAGGGCGGGTTTGCTCTATATTGGCGGGCTGTCAGCCACTCTGCCCCCACCCGCTGGAACTCCATCGCGCAGGCCCTCCACCTTGCCCCCACCTTTGCCTCTTTCGAGACCCGTCCCAGGGCTCTCCTCTTCGACCGTGCGCTCGGTCACCTTCCTTCCCAAACCACCACCCCCCCCGCCCTCCACCCTCCCTGATCCCGACCCCCAGCTCAGGTCGGAAACAATGATTGTCCAGCGCCTTGAGACATCCTCCTGACGGGAAAGGCGCTATCCAAATATAATTTGTTGTTGTTATATCAGCATTCACTTCTCATCAATCTCATTCTGAGAAGCGCTTTGGGATCTGTAGAAGCGTTTGTCTGAGAGCTGAGCATCCGGGCTGTCCGCGAGGAACTGTCCTTGTCTTTGTCTGTCTGTCTGTCTGTCTGTCTCAGCATCTCAGGACGTCCTCCTGCCACGAAAGGCACTATACAAATATAATTTGGTGTTATTGTTGTTGTTGTCACTGTGATTCCGAGTCTGTTTCTCTATATCTGTCTCATTCTCTGTGTGTCTCTCTGCATCGGTTTGTATCTGAGCTTCTACATCTCCCCCCACCCCCCACCCCCCCACCCCCCGTGTGTGTGTTGTTCTGTCTCTCAGTTTCTCTCCCTTTTTTTGTCTTGTGTCCTTCTTTCCCCTCTTCCCCTTCTGTGTGTATCCTCTCCCAAGTTTTCTCCCCCTCTCCCTCCCTCTCTCTCTCCCTCTGTGACTCTCGCTCTCCGCAGACTGGGGCTGTGCTGAGAGACTCGTCCCTCCCGTCTGAGCCGCGGTGGTTCATGGTTTCTGACAGCAGGAGAGGGGCTGAGAGTGTGTCGATCCGGGGGGGGGGGGGGGGGAGAGATAGGGGGACGGTGGGGGGAGGGAGTGGTGAGAGTGTGGGGGGGGAGAGAGAGGGGGACGGTGGGGGGGGGAGGGAGTGGTGAGAGTGTGGGGGAGGGAGAGAGAGTGTGGGGGAGGGGGAAAGAGAGAGAGAGAGAGAGAGGACGGTGGGGGGGGAGGGAGGGAGTGGTGAGAGTGTGGGGGAGGGTGTGTGGTTGAGAGAGAGTGGGGGGGGGAGAGAGAGGGGACGGTGGGGGGAGGGAGGGAGGGAGTGGTGAGAGAGAGTGTGTGGTGGGGGGGTGGTGGTGTTGAGAGAGAGTGGGGGTGGGGGAGAGAGAGGGGGAGACAGGGAGGGGGTGGGGGTGAGGGAGACAGAGAACAGTGGGAGATAGAGACAGGAGTTGGTGGTGGTGGGGGGAGGGAGGGAGGGGGGTCCGAGCTCTGACAGCAGAAAAGTTTGTTGTGTGTTTGGGTGTGGGTGGGGGGCGAGGGGGGGCAGAGGGGGGGAGGGGGGGTAGAGGGGGGTAGAGGGGGGGAGGGGGGGGCAGAGGCTGAGGGGGGGGGGGTGACCGTCCCTGTTGCCTGTAGCCCAGTGCGGGCTGTGCCATGTGGCCGCTCTACATTCTCGTGGCCTCAGTGGGTGAGTGAAGTCAGTGATCGATACAAAAATGGATACAAAACGGTAGTAACACTGTAGCGACTCGACTCCCCCCCCCGGGCCTCGGGCAACACTGTAGCGACTCGACCCCCCCCCCCGGGCCTCGGGCAACACTGTAGCGACCCCCCCCCCGGGCCTCGGGCAACACTGTAGCGACTCGACCCCCCCCCGGGCCTCGGGCAACACTGTAGCGACTCGACCCCCCCCCGGGCCTCGGGCAACACTGTAGCGACCCCCCCCCCCGGGCCTCGGGCAACACTGTAGCGACTCGACCCCCCCCGGGCCTCGGGCAACACTGTAGCGACTCGACCCCCCCCCGGGCCTCGGGCAACACTGTAGCGACCCCCCCCCCCGGGCCTCGGGCAACACTGTAGCGACTCGACCCCCCCCCCCGGGCCTCGGGCAACACTGTAGCGACTCGACCCCCCCCGGGCTCGGGCAACACTGTAGCGACCCCCCCCCCCCCCCGGGGCCTCGGGCAACACTGTAGCGACCCCCCCCCCCCCCGGGGCCTCGGGCAACACTGTAGCGACCCCCCCCCCCCCCCCCCCCGGGCCTCGGGCAACACTGTAGCGACCCCCCCCCCCCCCCGGGCCTCGGGCAACACTGTAGCGACCCCCCCCCCCCCCCCCCCCCCCCGGGCCTCGGGCAACACTGTAGCAAAATGTAGCCGCGGTGGTCGCGACATTACAGCGCATATGGGGGAGAGAGAGAGAGAGCGATAGAGGGGGAGAGAGACCTTATAAACGGCTCCTCGTCCCCACAGATCCCTCTCCCTTTTTCTCTGAAGACTTTATTGCGAGTCTTATTGCCTCCGAGAGGGGTTCCCGTCGCTGTGCTTTTTTTTTAGCCGCTCTTTCTCTTCCCACCACATTAATGATGTGTGTGTGTCTGTGTGTGTGTGTGTCTGTCTGTGTGTCTGTCTGTGTCTTGTGTGTCTGTCTGTCTGTGTGTGTCTGTCTGTGTGTGTCTGTCTGTCTGTCTGTGTCTTGTGTGTCTGTCTGTCTGTGTGTGTCTGTCTGTGTGTGTCTGTCTGTCTGTCTGTGTCTTGTGTGTCTGTCTGTCTGTGTGTGTGTGTCTGTCTCTGTCTGTCTGTGTGTGTGTGTCTGTCTGTGTGTCTGTCTTTGTGTGTGTGTGTCTGTCTGTGTGTGTGTCTGTCTGTCTGTGTGTGTCTGTCTGTCTGTGTCGTGTGTGTGTGTGTGTCTGTGTGTGTGTCTGTCTGTGTGTTCTGTCTGTCTGTGTGTGTCTGTCTGTGTCTGTCTGTGTGTTCTGTCTGTCTGTGTGTGTGTGTCTGTCTGTGTGTGTGTCTGTCTGTGTGCGGTGTGGTTGTGTTACCCAGTGACACTGATCACGGTTCCTCTCCCCTCCCGAGGCCCCGGTGCTCTCCAGCCTCTCGGTCCATTCCCACAGCCCGTAACCCGCGGCACTAAACTAATCACAGACACCACTTGTTGTGGTTTCTGCCGATTTTATACCACTACCAACCGCCTCTCTCACCCTCTCTCTCTCCCTCCCTCTCCCTGTCTCTCTCTCTCCCTTTCCTGTCTCTCTCTCTCTCCCTCTCCCGTCTCTCTCCCTTTCTTCTCTCTCCCTTTCCTGTCTCTATCTCTCCCTTTCCTGTCTTTCTCTCTCCCTCTCTTTCTCCCTCTCCCGTCTCTCTCCCTTTCTTCTCTCTCCCTTTCCTGTCTCTCTCTCTCCCTGTCTCTCTCTCTCTCTCTCTCTGTCCCTTTCCTGTCTCTCTCTCTCTCCCTCTCCCTGTCTCTTTCTCTCTCTCCCTTTCCTGTCTCTCTCTCTCCCTGTCTCTCTCTCTCTCTCTCCTGTCCCTTTCCTGTCTCTCTCTCTCTCCCTCTCCCTGTCTCTTTCTCTCTCTCCCTTTCCTGTCTCTCTCTCTCTCTGTCTCTCTCTCTCTCTCTCTGTCTTCCTGTCTCTCTCTCTCTCCCTCTGTCTCTTTCTCTCTCTCCCTCTCCTGTCTCTCTCTCTCTCTCCCTCTCCCTGTCTCTCTCTCTCTCCCTCTCTCTCTCTCTCTCTCTCTCTCCCTTTCCTGTCTCTCTCTCTCTCTCCCTCTCCCTGTCTCTTTCTCTCTCTCCCTTTCCTGTCTCTCTCTCTCTCCCTCTCCCTGTCTCTCTCTCCCCCCCCGTCTCCCCGTCTCTCTCTCCCTGTCCCTCTCTCCCTCTCCTTCTCTCTCTCTCTCCCTTTCCTGTCTCTCTCTCTCTCTCTCCCCCTGTCTCCCCGTCTCTCTCTCCCTCTCCCTGTCCCTCTCCCCCCCTCTCTCTCTCTCTGCGCTTGGCTGAGGCGACTCCTCACTTTCTCATGAGGTTTGGTGCGAGTTGTGGCTGAGTTCTGCCTAAACCGAGCAGTGGGGTTTGTTATACATAGCACAGGACAGGACAGTAGCAAAGACTCCCTGTTACTGTACTGTACACACAGGCAAAGGCCTCTTAGCCCAAGGCCTGTGCTTTCCCAGGTGAGACTGTGACATACAGGAACATACATGGGAATGTGACAGACTATAACATATATGGGAATGTGACTGACTATAACATATATGGGAATGTGACAGACTGTAACATGTTAACTTACATGGGAATTATACCGAGACACTCGGTATAAGTGTTGTTATTAGTGCTGTACAATCAATCAGTCAGTTTAGTTTTTATTACGTTCATTGAACCTGTTTTAATAGCTCAGTGTCAGGATTTCCTGTGGTTACCGTGTGTGGTTAGCCAGTGATTCACACACATAACTATGGTTTGAGTGGTTGCTCAGTGACTAGCGGTGGTTGCTCAGCGACTAGCGCTTGTTACTCAGTGACTAGCGGTGGTTGCTCAGTGACTAGCGCTTGTTACTCAGTGACTAGCGGTGGTTGCTCAGTGACTAGCGCTGGTTGCTCAGTGACTAATGGTGGTTATTCAGTGACTAGTGGTGTTACTCAGTGGTGGTTAGAGTAACCGCACTGGAGAGGTGAGAGTCTGGTCAGGAACCACGGGTATGAAGACTGAGTGGTTAATAATCTGAGGCCGTGTGGCTGGCCGTCCCTGTAACAAAGGCCATGTTTGCCTATAAATACAGTCACTACACTTGACAGCAGTTACCCGTGAAGCACTTAGGGACATTTTGACATTATAGAGACTGATATTTATTATTATAGTAAATCAGCGCCTTGGGCTATCCTCTCAATGTGAAAAGCACTGTACAAATCCAATCTTGTTGTATTGTTATTACTATTATTCTGGTTCCTCGGTGGCAGGGCAGAGCCAGGTGTGAGGCTGAGATTATGGCAGTGTTTAGTTCCTGTGGGTGGGGTAGTGGGTGAGTTTGATTCCCAGGCAGTGCAAAATATTTGGCAAGTTTCCTTACTCCAGAGGCCTCTGTAGGAACCTGATCGTTAGTCGATTGGCAGAAAAATAAAAATATTAATAATTTGGTCACTCAATCCACGGCTGTTTGTGGGTCGCTGCTGTGCATAATGTTTTGCCCACGAAACATACGGTCAATTCACTTTACATTACACTCTGTGAAGCACTTTGAGACGTCTTGAAAATGTCATAAGGCGCTATATGAAATGCAAGGATTATTATTATTATACAGAAGGGGGCAGGCCTACACAGCCAGTTACATTTTAATGTATTAAACTTGATGTTGTGCCCTCACAAAGTGTGGCTTCTACTTAAAATAGAATCGTACATTTGAATCTATTTTACAGCACAGAAGGCCATTCAGCCTATCGTGCCTTTGCCATCTCTCTGTAAGAGATAATAATAATGCTTGCATTTGATATAGCGCCTTATCACATCGTTGAGATGTCTTAAAACCCTTCACAGAATATATTGTGAAGTGGATTGACTGTATATTTTGTGGGGCAACCAATTATATTGAGATCTCTGTATAGTTCCTCTCCACTACTCCCTTCCCCTCTCCCGCTCTCCCTCCCATCCCTTCCCCACTTTCTCTCTCTTGTCCCTTCCCCCCACCCCTCCCCTCTCTCCCATTCCTTCCACTCTCCCCACTCTCCCTTCCCCTCTCCCCCCTCTCTCCCTTCCCCTCTCCCCCCTCTCTCCTTTCCCCTCTCCCACCTACTCAGGCAGTAACACACAGCACAGTGTCACAGTCGCTCAGTGAGGAGAGAATGAATGGCTGTTTAGAAGGCGAGTTTCCATCACGCCCCACACTGTGACATGTGGAGTGATCCCATGAGACAGGCCAATATGCTTTGCAGGCACAGTTTGTCCGAGCTGCCAGCAATTCCCTGTTGCTGTGTTCCTGGATTCTGTGAGCTTTGCAAATATCAGACACACAGCGACCTGGAGAATGCTCAACTTCTGTGACAGCTCCGAGTGCCCAGATTACAGTGAACAACTTTACACATAGCCAGTGAGTGTGGGGCACATTCAGCATGGGAGATACTGATGGAGTGAGTGAGTGAGAGAGAGAGAGAGAGAGAGAGAATATAGGATTCCTTATTGTGTGTGGATTCCTGTAGCAAAGTGGTTAGCGCACTGGCCTCGCAAATGAGTGGACCCGGGTTCGATTCCCGGGCGGGGCAAAAGATGAGGTAGGTTTCCTTGCTTCACACACCTCTGTTCACGTTGCAGTAAATAGGAAACCAGTTGTTATTCGATTGGCAGATCACTTTCTGGGAGATCGCTTTTGTTAACACGTCTCAAAACTCTTCACGGGATATACTGTAAAGTGCAGTGACCGTGGTCTTTGTTCGCCTAGCAAATTCTTATGTTCTTAGTGAAGCTCCTGCTCTGTAAGGCTCTGGCACAACTCTCTCCACAAAACCCTCCACTGCAGAATTCTATGTTCGTTCTCCTAACTGCGAAGCTTTCATTGACCCCACGTAATGGGCTGACGTTAATGTGACATGTCCTGCCCGAGGCTGCCGCTTGTGATTCCTGGTGCGGAGCTCGGCTCAATGACGGGATCATTGGGAAACAATGGGAAACAGTGTCACAGTCACCACAGGCTGCACATCCTCCCCAGAGGCTGGGATCACTCACAACAATAATAATAATCCTTGCATTTGTGTATTATTTTGTGGGTGAAACATGGCAGCCAATTGCGCACACAAACAGCCATGGAGTCAGTGACCAATTTTTATCTGGAAGATTGTTGGCCAGGACACCAGAAGATAGAAATTCCCTTCACTGGGTCAGGCTAACACAAGCCTCTTTGATGCACCAAGGTTGCCAGCATTGGATGCTAGCCTCTGTCACTGTTCCTGTCTGCCTAACCCAGCACCCCTGCTTACACAGCGAGAGCTCTCATTCTCCTGAGGACAGCTCTCTGAGCAACGGATAAAGCAGACCCTTCTGCCCGCTTCAGCCCATCCTTCTCGGACTCCCAGCGCACAGTCAGCCTAGCTGCCAGCCATTCATTACATCACTTACCGTTCTTATTAAACCTTCTCAACTGCTTAGGAACATAGGAACAGGGTTAGACCATTTAGCCTCTCGAGCCTGTTCCACCGTTCTATTTGATCATGGCTGATCTGTACCTCAACTCTAATTACTCGCCTATGCCCATAACATTACTCAACAAATATCTATCCACATCTTAAATCTATCCACGTTTTAAATTAGATCAGCCCTAGAACCAGCCTCAACCCCTTCCAGCCTCTGATTGCCCTCTTAAATGATAACATCATCATAATAATCTTTGCATTTGATATTGTGTTGAGTTGCCTCGCAGAATATACTGTAAAGTGAATTCACTATTCATTTTGTGGGCGATAATAAAAATCTGTTATCTGAAAGAGCTCTGTCTCTGATAATATCGGATAGTTATTATCTGTAAATGATAATAGCAAGAAACCGTGGATCTAGCACCTTCCGTCTCGAGAGGACGTCTCAAATCGCTTCACAGGCTTCAGTGTAAAGTGTAGTAACTGTTTTTGTGGGCGAGCATGGCAGACAGCAATTTGCGCACAGCGAAAGTCCCACACCCAGGCATCAGGGACGTACCTGGGGGAGTGGAGAGGGGTGACTGACTGATGGCCTCTTCCTGTTGTTACACAGAGAGCCAGCTTGTTCCGGTCAGGAACGGGAGTGATAAGTGCAACATTCCTGGGACGTTCGCCTGCAGCAACGGGACGTGCATCCCGGGAGCCTGGCAGTGCGACGGCCTTCCCGACTGCTTTGACGGGAGCGATGAACAGAAATGCCGTGAGTCACTCACTCCCCCTTTTTTCCCGGGCAGATTTGAGTTCCAGAACGTCGCCTGGGAACTTCCTGCCCCTGGCGATCTCCTGGGTGGTTCTCATGGACTGGCTGGTCACCAGGTCACCAATGTGCCAGCCAGCCCCAGCCACTAACTGGCTCTGCACCTCCGGCCCACCAGGTGGGTGGGATGGGTGTGTGTCCGGGCTGGGGGTGTGACCAGGCTGGGAGGGAGGAACCAGACTGGGGTGCGGCCAGTCAGAGGAGTGGCCGGGAGGAGAGTGGCTAGGAAGGGAGTGGCCAGGCAAGAGAGGAGCCAGATTAGGGAGGGAGGGACTCAGGCTGGGAGAGAGGGGCCGTGCCAGGGAGGGAGGTGCTAGAGAGAGGAAGGCGCTGGGGGGAGAGGGGCTGGGCGAGGGACCCAGGGGCCAGGGCCAAGAAGGTGCGGCAGGTCTGGGGAGGAAGGGACCGGCCTGGGGAGGGAGAGACCGGGGAGGGAGGGGTCGGGTTGGCTCTGGGGTTGGTGTAGCTGATTTGCTGACACACTCGGCTCCTGGCTCTGAATCCGTGTGTCTCTCCCCGACAGCGAGGATTCGCACTAAGTGCCCCCCCACCTTCTTCCCCTGTGCCAGTGGCCTCCACTGTATCATCGGCCGCTTCCGGTGTAACGGCTTCGAGGACTGTCCGGACGGTAGCGATGAGGATAACTGTAGTGAGTGACCCCCGCTCAGAGACCCCACCTCGTCACTCCCACACCCACACCATCACCCCTTCACCACCAACAACAACAAATGACATTTACACAGCACCTTTCATGTTGGGGGGACGTCCCAAGGCACTGGAAGGGTCAGGGATTTGGACCCGAGCTGGGGGTTGGGATCAGGGAGGTTGGAGGGCAGGGAGGGTAGGGGTAGGAGGGTGGCCGAAGGCGCGGTCGAAGAGGAAGGTCTTGAGACGGGCCTTGAAGGAGTCAACGGAGGGAGCGAGGTGAAGGGAATATGGGATGGAATTCCAGGGGATGGGGGCAGAAGAGGCTGAAGGCCCAACCATCGATGGTGGGGTGGGCCGGATAGGGGACATGGAGCAAGCCAGACTTCACTCAGCGATCAATCCAAACATCATCATCGTGACCCCCGCCTCGAGAGCCCCATACCGTCGCCCCCATGTGTAGTGACTGGCTGCCTGTGTTGTGTGATGTCTGTTCCTGTGTCTCGCAGCAGCAAACCCCCTCCTGTGCTCCACTACCCGCTTCAACTGTAAGAACGGACGATGCATCGACAAGAGTTTTGTGTGTGATGGGATGGACAACTGTCGGGACGACAGCGATGAAGACAGCTGCGAGGGACCCCCAGGTACACCTTGCACACAGTCACTACACATTATACAATCACTACACATTACACAGTCACTACACATTTCACACAGTCGCTAGATCTTTCACAAAGTCAGTACACATTATACACAGTCACTGCACCTTTGACACAGTCACTACACATTACACAGTTACTACACAATACATAGTCACGACACATTAGACATAGTTGCTGCACATTACACACAGACCCTGCACATCACACACAGTTACTACACATTCTGCACAGTGACAGTCAGGGATTCGGACCCGAGCTGGGGGTTGGGATCACAGAGGCTGGAGAAGGTGGGTGGGTAAGAGGGTGGCCAAATGTGCGGTCAAAGAGGAGGGTCTTGAGACTGGCCTCGAAGGAGGCAAGGGAGGGAACAGGGTGAAGAGATTGTGGGATGGAGTTCCCAAAGGTCACTATACGTTCTACACAGTCACTACACATTACACAGTAACGCTGCTCTGTGCTGTTAGTTGATCTCAGTGGACGGGTTGGGGGTGGGAGGGGGAGCACTCGGCCAGGACTCGCTCCTCGTGTTCCTGTCTCTCAGGCCCCCAGTTACACATTCCCTCTTGTTCTCTTACCTCCTCACGCCCTCTCCTGGGCTACTTACATTCCAAGGCGATGGTCTCCGGGCTAAGACCTTGAGAATCTGAGGGTCTCAGTTACACATGGAAACTGGTGACTGCTTTGTTACGGCTCTTGTGCCTTTCAGGCATTATACAGATAGCTATTCTCTGTGTTGGCAACGCGCCAATCCCTTTAAAACGCTCTATTACCCTCATTCATGGCTGTGTCCCGAGTTGTGAAGGTCTCTTATTTCTCTGCACAATAATAGCCATTGAGCTGCAGTAAGTGGCTCAGATAATGTGCGGCAAAAACAGGAGGCTCGAGGCCATCCCCATAGAAACAAGGATTGTGTTCCCCCCTTCCTGACCCTGACACCCCCCCACCACCCCCCCCCCTCCCACACACACAAAAATACACTGCTTCACCTCCCCAATACACACACACACGCACAGACATTGCCCACACCCCCACCAGACATACACACACATACCTTCACCCCCACACAAACACACTGCCTCCCCACCACCCCCCACACACACACAGCCCCACACACACATAAACTGCTCCATCCCCACCCTCATCCCAATATACACGCAACTGCGCTCCCCCTCCACAAGCACAGCGTTCCATCCCCACCCCAACAAATGTGCACAAGCACATTCCCCCCCACACACACACTCACATTGTGCTACACACATACCGCTCCGCCAGGCACCAACCACCCCCCCCCCCCCACCACCTCACCACCCCCAGCCCCCACACACACACACACTACTGTGGTAAAACTGCCAAAAAGGCACTAGGTGATAACAGAAGAGGACAGGGAGAGACCGAGAGGGAGGGAGTGGGAGACAAAGGGATGGAGGGAGGAGTGAGAGAGGAAGAGGTACAGTAGTGATAATCCTATAATTCCTGACCTCCGCTGTGATTCCCAGAGCCCCTGAGTTATTACACTCAAAGCAGACAGTCTGCCTCCACGACCTGTCACACTCAGCACTGGGCGTGAGTGACACTTGGAGTTACAGGCAAGAACACACACCAGTCACTGACATGAGCCCTACTCCTGTATGGACGGACAGTGTAGAGGGAGCTTTAGTGTGTCTTTACTAACCTGTGCTGTCACTGACCTGGGAGTGTGGACGGACAGTGTAGAGAGATTTAACTGAGCTTCAGATAAACTGGAGCAGACGGTGGTTTGGGTGAAGTGTGGGGTGAGGGGCTGTGGTGCCCAGGGGACCACTCGTTCTGTGAGTGCACAAAAATGTTTGAAAGCTAAAGATTTGGCTTAAATGTCAGGCTTCCCACGATGACTAATTTGTTTAGAATTCTCCATTGAGGGCGTAATTAGCGCAATCAAAATTCATGAGAGGCGTGAAGCAAAGCAGCGTCCCACAGGGGCTGGGACTGGGGAGGACTCAAATTATAATAATCCTCGCATTTGATACAGCGCCTTATCACGTCTTCGAGACCTCTTAAAGCGCTTTATGGCATATACTGTAAAGTGAATCAAGTGTATACTTTGTGGGCGAAACCCGGCAGCCAATTGCGCACGGCAGCGTCCCCACAAACAGCCGTGGATTGAGTGACCACCTTATTATTATTTATTTTTTTGGAGGAATTATTCCCCCCGGAAAAGCGATCCAACAATCGACCAGCTACTTGCTGCTGGGTAAACAGAGGCGTGTGGAGAAAGGAAACCTGCCCAATATTTCGCCCCGGCCGGGAATCGAACCCGGGTCCTCTCGCTCGCGAGGCGAGAGCTCTAACCGCTGGGCTGCAGGACTCCCCGCTGATCGGCAACATAAGGTGGTGTGATATCAACCGTCAGGATGATTTTTATGGTGGTTGTTACTACGCTGTGGCTGTGTTTCTCTTCCCAGACGGTGTTCTGGGCCCCGGGCCCTCGGAGCTCCGCTTCCCGTACTATCCCAGTGTGATCTTCGCCATCATCGGCAGCTCGGTGGTCCTGGTGCTGCTGGTGGCGCTGCTGGCCATGATGCTGCATCACCACCGCAAGCGGAGCAGCGGGGTGCTGGGGGACGTGCCCCCCCCGCTGCAGCGTCTCCAGCACCCCCTCCTGCTCTCCCGCCTCGTCATCCTCGAGCCCCCCCACACCGCCACCGTCACCTACACCCCGGCCCGTGGCATCCAGCTCGCCGGCTCCTTCTACCGCCAGCACCCGCCGCTGCAAGAGGAGCCGCCCTCCTACTCCCAGGCTGTGCTGGAACACAGGTAAGAACAGCAGCAACAACTTGCATTTATACAGCGCCCCCTCACTCAGGTTAGCCTTTCAGAGCGATGGACAACCCGCTCTCCCTTTATCCCCTCCGCTCCTCCCTCACGCCCCTCGTCTCCTCCTTCCCTTCGCAACCCTCACTACTCATCCTCCCCTCATCACCCCCAGAAAAAACTCCCCTTAACTTACTTAACATCCACCATTTCACCGTTCTCCTTAACATCCACCTGAACAGGCAGCCGGCACCTCAGGTTGTTGTTATTAATAATCACGTCAGGAGGATATCTCAAAGCTCTTCACAGGATTCACTGTAAAGTGTAAGTGACTGTGTCTTTTGGCATCTCCGACAATGTGACACTCCCCTTCCCCCCCCCCACCCACAGCACGCCACTGGAGCATCTGCCTAGACTGCCTGTGAGCTCAAAGTCCTGACGTGGGAGGGGGCGGGGGGGGGCTTTATCCCGTAATCTTCTGACTCTGAGGCGAGAGAGAGTGTGAGTTCAATCATTGGGAGCTCACTGCAAAGCTCCAGGACTTCAGACCTCACCTCAGTTTACTGTAGATAATTGGGAGCCGGCGTCGCTGAGCATTTGAAAGCTCAGGCAAGTTTGCTCACTCCGTACCAATGATCCCTTCCCCCAAAAATGGATCACTCGATCCACCACTGTTTGTGGGACATCACTGTACACAATTGGTTGTCGTGTTTCTCCCCCAAAATACACAGTCCCTACACTTTACAATATTTTCTGTGAAGCGCTTTGAGACTTCTCGAAAATATGATGATAACAACAACAACAACGTGCACTTATATCGCCCTCCACGCCGGGCGGCATCTCGGAGCACTTGACAATGGCGCGGCCTGAGGCCGAGCCAGGGGGAGGGGGAAGGGGACCTGAAGATGGGGAAGGCCGGGGACGAGGCGAAGGGGTTGAGGGAGGGAGTTCTAGAGCCTCGGGGCATAGTGGCTGAAGGCACGGCCGCCGAGGGTGGAGCGGAGGATGAGCTGTATCAAATGCCAGGATTATTGTTGTTGTTGTTATATCCAGAGATTGTCAGCGCCGGGTGCCGGTGGTCTCACTCTCTCCTCGCTCCCCCTCTCCCCAGCAGGCCACCGTGGTACGACCTGCCACCTCCGCCGTACCCCACAGACCTCACGGACCCTGGGAGCCAGCCCGAGCTGCCGCCGTACCGGTCGCGGGCAGGCAGCACGCTGAGCAGCGAGAGCGGCGGCCCGGCCCCAGAGGGGGGGGCCCTCACTGACCTGCTGCTCAGCGCCCGCAGTGAGGAGACGCTGTGAGCGCACGGGCACGACCAGCCCCGCACCCCCATCCCCCCCCCCCACCCCACCAGTTGTGGTCACACGGTGTCGTCGGCGACGGGAGTTACCAGGAGCGGTGCTCAGCGACTCCGCGCATCAACCTCCACGGGAAGAACAGAGAGTGACGGCACTCACCGGCTTGGCAACGGGCGACCGGTTAGAAGGTCGGCACACGGACACCCGGACTGTGCCACTCTGAACTGAACACACAGGCGTTCTGAACTGAACTGCACTGAACTGCAGACAGTATCAAATTGCCTGAACGACAAACAATGACCCTGAGTGTGAAGCCAGCGGAAGCTGTTCAGCATCTGCTGCTTGTTTGCCTTTCACGGCAGATCTTCAACCCCAGCTCGCTGCCTTAACCCCACTGCTGTCAGTCGACACGCAGGCTTCCCCAGCCCGGGTATTATGGAGTGCACATCCCGATCCATCCCGCGCCCACTGCCTTCTGGAGCCGTGCAGTCCACACACTCCCGAGTCACGGTGCGAAGACGAGTTTCCGATCTCATTTCCGTCTCATCATCCGAGCTCTGATGTGAAGGTCGTGTCCCCGAACTTTGGGCTGTGGGAACATTGGTGAACTCCAGTATAGAATCCCAACAACTCCCTTCGCAGCCGATTCCTCCCTCCTTCCCATCAGCAGTTACCCCAATGCGCATCTGAGGTTCCCCCAAGCCTTGGCTCTTGCCGACCTGCGCCTAATACTCTCAGGAATTAGATAAGTCGGATGCATCCCTCCAGAGAGCGAAAGAGTGCACCTTCCAACAATCTATCTCTGGGATTGCCGTGTGTAGGTGGGAGGCCTGGAATGCTCAGCTCGGTTTGGATAAGAATGGTGATTGGTTTCCGCACGTGCCAGATACCCGGCTTGCTGACCAAAATAAAAATCTCTTCAGTAAACGTCCGGGACCAAATGGTCCCATTTTAAGTGCTGACAGAAGAAATGCACTGACAGTCCTCTCTCTCACAGTCAGATATGGTGATCAGCGACGAGCTGTGCATCCTGTGTGTGACTGACACCCAGGCAGGCAGTCAGTGAGGCGTCCACACACTGTGTACATTTACACTCACAGCACCAGCAGTCATCACGGACGCTATTCACACCCTCACATCCAGAAGCTTTTAAGTGTTTCCGTGTTGGGTTATAATTAGTGAGTGCCAAGGAAAGAACTGAATCAGGGAAAGAGAGAGAGAGAGAGAGAGAGGACAGACTAGGAGGATTGAGAGAAAGGAAAGTGGAAGTTGAGAGAGAAGTTTGCATGGGGTTTGACGTTACCTGGGTTTCCTACTACAAGGACAAAACCAACCGTTTTGGTTGCGTTAGTCAACAACATGTTAGACAACTGTACAGGATCAATTCCTTGCACGCTGCTGGGCTCCCTGTGTGAGTGTCTGTGAGTTGTGTGTGTGTGTGTGTGCAAGTTCAATTCATTCTATCCAGGATCTCAAAGGATGGAGTTCTTTCCCAGGACCCTTCACCTGTCCAATGGGTCAATACAATCGCATGTAACAAATCATTTATTCAGGTAAAATTCCTGCCCCTCCAACCAGCAAACCCAGTCACAAATCCCAGCCACACTGCCACACGTCTCCCAACCCCAGTGAATAAGTGTCTCGAAGGTTAAACTCACTGACTGAGTGAGCGACGTCAATGATTTAACTGTAACTTCAACCCAGAATCAGATTACCCCCTTCTTCACCGATCTTTGCACTTCCACTCAGAAAAGGCGGAAGGAAACAGCGGCTTGCGATTATACAGCAGGCTTCACACGGGGTCACGCCTCGAGCAACCAAGGGGACACAAGCTTTTTGGATGAAATGAAGCGGGTTTGAGATTTGCAGCGAGTTTACTGACTGTAGCTATTCTCCTGACTGGAGCTATTTAAAGAGTTTATTATCTATCAGCCTCGCCTTTACAGAGTTCTACGTATAAAGTGTTGATTAGTATCTGTGATCTGAAGCTTTAAGAAAGAGAGAGAGAGATCATGTTATGATACACAGTAATCTGTAATAAATCTTTTGGAACAAAAAAATAAATATTTGCAAAAAACAACAAATGTGTTCAGGAACTTTGGAGGGTTTAGTTTAAGCGTGTGGGAAGCGGGAGGGACCTGGGTTCAAAGCCAGCTGAGATTAATGTTGACCCTCCTCTCATTCCGCTGACTTGGCAGATCTGAAGAGCTGCCTCTTGCCTCCTGCAGAGAGGCTTCAATTGAGTCTGTCCCTGTCCCCTGCTGGACCTGACCTGGGTCACACCACACACACACTGCAGGAACTCATCCACAGGTCACGGGGCTGGGAACGGGAGCAGACACTAGGATCTAATGGAGCACAGAACAGCGAGACTGAAGATGAAAGCTTTATCCTCAAAAGAACAAAGAAATAATCTGGATCAACATTTCGGCCCCAGGGGGAGAGAGAGAGAGAGAGAGAGAGCTCAAGCAGGATTCCTGCTGTCACGTCCAGCAATGAGAAGCTTCCCACAGGCTGCTTACTCTACTGGGCAATCCCAGCCCCATTGATCACTGTTTACAAGCCGGTCGGCACAGGGGTTATATCAGGACCACTCATATCAAAGGTTACACTAACATAGGAAACGTAGGAGACATCTGCTTCAATGCGGCACCGACTGAGCATCGGAACATAGGGCCAGGAGTAGGCCATTCAGCCCATCAAGCCTGTTCTGCCATTGTATAAGATCATGGCTGAGCTGTACCTCAGCCTTTGCCTTGATATCCTGACCTAATAAACAAAATTAAAAGGGACTTTTCTAAAAGATTTATTTTAGAAAATAATATTTTGTGAAGCGGTATATGAATAATTTGAGATGTGACGTATAGAAAGTGTAGTATGGCTTGGAAGAACCAGGAAATTTTGGATCAAAATTTGCCAAAGCTTTCCAATCATACAGGATTAATATGTGGTAGAAGATGAATACGATGGACCCTGGTTGTTTTTCGTCTAGCAATTCCTATGTAATGGTTAGAGCGCTCGTCTCACAAACAAGAAGACCCAGGTTCGATTCCGGGACAAGATGAAACCTTAGGCAAGTTTTCTTACTCCACACACACCCCTCTGTTTACCAAGCAATAAGTAGGAACCCGGATGTTAGTCGTTTGGCAGATAGAGGGCAAGGTGCCAGATGTTTACCAGAGGTTCAGAACATCCATCACTCAGTCACATCAGCACCTCGGGCAGGTGCTAAGCGTCTGCCCCCACCCCCCACCCCAAGGGAGGTCACAGGAGGCCACTTAACTGTGTCGATCAAGCGTCCCCCAAGCTCTCTGACTTCAGTAAGTGCTGGGAAGCCCCAGAAGTGAGGACTGTACAAGGCAGAGGTTCCCCCAGAGACTGTCCACAACCAACAAGTAGACTCCTGTAACTCAATAGTTAGAGCACTCACCTCGCAAGTGAGAGGACCTGGGTTCGATTCCCGGGCAGGGGGTGAAACGGTGGGCAAGTTTCCTTACTCCGCACAGCTCTGTTTACCAGCAGTAAATAGGAACCCGGTTGTTAGTCGATTGGTGATCACTTTCCTGAAGGTAATCCCTTCAAAAAATATATATATATGTGGTCACAACAACATCAACGACTGTTTGTGGGACACTGCTGTGCCCAATTGGCTGCCATGTTTCGCCCACAAAATATAGTCACTTTACAGTATATTCTGTGAAGCACTTTGAAATGTCTCGCAGATGTGCTAATCAAATGCAAGTATTGTTATTAATAACTTTCATTTATATTCCAAAACAACATGTATTTTTTCCTCCTCTCCAAGTCTACTGCCCGGCTCGCCCCACCGTCGGCGGTCGGTTCTTCAGCCTCTCTGCCCTCACCCTCTGGAGTCCCTCAGCCTCGCCCCCTCCCTTGGCTCCTTCAATGCCTGCCTCAAGACTCTTCGACTGCACCTTCGGTTACACTCCCACCACGTCCCTCCCCCTACTCTCTTGGTTCCAAACCCCAGCTCAGATGCAAACGCTTAACTGTCTCGATGCCGTGGGACATCCTTCCAAAGCGAAAGGTGCTGTGTAAATGCAATTTTGTTGTTGTTATTATATCAGTAACAGATTCAGAGCAGGAATAGACCATCGGTACCACTGATCATTCCCACGGGATTCACTCCATTGTGCGACGGGTGGAGAGAGGGCAG